TTCCAATAAATTTTAATCAGTAAATTATCTTAACTAGGTGTTCTACTCTGCGTACTTTCGAGGACGAAACCGCACAAGGTTAAGCTAGCTGGACTTGAGGTAGGGTTTCCTGATTTCCCGATGATTGGGCTATGTCACTTTTAATCTTGGTGATTATATATATAGTACTATAAATATTGTTCTTGTGTTGATCGGTGAATACTATTTGATGTTATGTGAATATTATTGTTGATGTTTCTCCATGGATATTATTTGACATTGAGTGAATGTTATTATGCATGTGATTAAGCCTGGAATATTATTGTTATTATCTATATTATTATTCTGCAGAAATAAATGATGTTTGCGCCGCATTACATATGCATCATAAAGACAGTGGTATTTGGGGTGTGTGTGTGTGTGTGTCGTTTGAGATATATCTAAGGGGTGGGAGAAGGCTTTAGATATATCTGAATAAAATGTGGAATATATTCAGGCGACGGGAGCAGAGCTTGAATATATTAAGGTGATGGGAGCAGGGCCTCTAATGATAAGTGAAAGTTGAGAAATTCGAAAACAAAAGACAAATGGGTTAAGGGACGGATGGGCACTAGTTCATATTTTAGGGTATTCGGAGCCACAGTGGTAAAACGCATGGTATGGGACATGCAGGCTTGTTGCCCTAGGATATGAATTAGTGGGATTAGAAGGGAGTGAGTTCATGGCATCTCCGCATATGCAAATTTATTTATCTGTTATGATTGCATAATTTGTATATCTTGTGTTGTTTGATGCATGACACTTTGATTAACTGTGATAGCTAACCCTTAGAATGCTCATACCCTAATAGATTGTGCAGGATTAAAGAAGAAGTTTGAGGAAGCGGATTCAACTAAGCTGCTGGGCTTTTATTGTTGATTTGTGTAATTAATATTTGTAAGTAGTCAACCGTTTGTTAAAGATCTTAGTGTGTAGTTATTTACAAGCTACTGCGACTCTGATTTTGTAGTGTTAAGTAAATTTGTATTATTTTTGTGGCTCTATTTCTCATCATATCATGGCTGTAGGATTTTATTCTTATGACTATGGTATGACTCACACCATGATTCGGGAATATTCCTTATTTTCGAATCGGGTCGTGACACTCGCGCACAACCGTACCGCATCCAAAAGCAGGAAGCCACATGTTAACGCACATCCCCTCGGCCCGGAACCCCAGGCCGTGAGATCTGCGCAGCCGACAATATACTATTTATTAAAGGCAATTAAAACAAACAAAAAACCGACTAAAGTCGCGTGACTATACTATTTTTCAAAAAAAAAATTAAAAAATAGAGTATAGCCTTTATTTGAAAAAAAAACCAAGGTAGCCGCACAGCGCCTAGGTACCACGTGTCAAAACAGGTATAGCCGCACGGCTATACTATTTTTTATTAAACATTAATAAAACCCAGTATAGCAACAACGTTTTGAAATGATAATCACATGTGTCAAAAGTAAGGATGCACATGTGTGTATATGCATCTTGCACATGGCAAATCTACCAATAATATTATTTTTATTTATTATACAAGCGATATTGAAACATGAGGAATTGAATCTATGACCTCGAGCGTAGAAACTTTTAACCGCTTAAACTACAAGCCTCTTGCAAATTTAATAATATTATTAATTTATCTATAATAGTATACCAGTCAATTAATATTCAAGCTAATGAACTTTTTTTTTTTATAGAGAAAATCAATAATTTTATTTATAAATTAGGCACAAAAACCATCAGCCACGAGGGTAAGTACAAATGCCCACAAATGGATAATATAAATGCCCACAAAGGGATAATACAAATAGGGAAGCATAGTAACCACATATGGTTAATCTAAATACAAACCACAAAAGACCAGAAAAATTTCGACATAAAAGACGCATGCCTGAACAAACCAGACATGAATTACAACGCCCAAATCTATCAATACAACTATAACTTTTAACTCTAACAAGTACAAAATACAAGTAGAGACTAGAAAACAATTAGACACCCAACTCACAAGGAGTTGATGCAATTATTATAAATTAAGAAAACTGCAAACAAACTACCAAAAACCAACAACTGCCGCTGTTAATGAACTTTTTTTTTTTATAGAGAAAATCTTGGAGATAGAGAACACCACCGAGATTGCAGCTAGTCACCTTACAACTAAAACACCAACCAACAAAACCACAAATTTAAGCAGATCTCTAGACACAAGTAACTTCCCCACAATTAAAACCCCAAATCCAGTAGATGGGGAAAGGGAAAATAAGTATGGAGGTAAGGAAAAGAGAGAGAGGGGGAGAGAGGAGGAGGAGTGACCTCCTCCCCCCTCCCCGGAACACATCAAAAGAGGTTTGAGAGAGAGAAGGGAGGATTGGGTTTTCTCAATTAGGTTTTTCTGGTAGGTTCGAGCTAATGAACTTTTAGAAAGTAGAAACCTTCATATTTATTGCGTTTGGTTCATGGGAAAAGGAGCTTGTGAATGATAAATTATTTGTTTCCCCATGTTTGTTAAGTCCAGACTTGGGAAATGATTTCCTATTTCATGGGAAAATAGGGAGAAAATGAAACCTTCCATCCACTTTGGGTTTCATTATCCATCCTCATGGGAAACCAAGACAAGCATTAATTACAACTTTTTATGACCAATTTACCACTATTAACAATTAAAAATACCATGGCAAACATTAATTACACTTTTTTTAATATATATGATTTTTTATTTTGGGATATAATTGGAAAACTAAACAAAATGTATTTTCAATCCATACACTAACCACACATAGGAAAGGAAATAAAATGATATTTTCTAGTAATTTTTCCAGTATTAGTAAATATGGGAAATGAATATTCGATTTCCCTTCTCATAAAAAACTATATAGATATTAATTTCTCATTAATTCACGGAAGTGAACCAAACACAGAGTGAGTACTCCACTAAGTCGCTTTTAGGCAGATTCAAAATCTTCCTTTCAGCGCCAAAACCAACCTTGTATCCTTAGGTGAGCCATTTTCCCAACAGAGTCTACTGCCCATCCTTTGTTCAGTCAATTTCAAGAAACACCTGGTGGGGCATTCCTATCCGACCAGCCAAATCCCCAGTGGTTAATGATCCGCGGGTGCCATGAGATTTTCATGCAAAACTTGACATGTCGGTGTGCAAAATATGTCAAACAATTCTCAAAAGTTGTGGTCTTCTCGATGCCAGCAGCAGGGTAGAGCAAATAAATGCACTAGATGAAAAGTACTGCAAACCAAGCGGGCCATATTGGAAATGCATCAATAATTCAGCTTTGCCTTCGTAGCAAATTTGAGTGATAAATTTAGGGTTTGTCAAATATAGATCTCTACATTTTTTATTTTTTAGACGTATATCTATTACTCTATAAATATATGTGTAAAACCAAATTTCAAATTTAAATGACCAGTAGGATATAAGATAGTATTCCTATGTTTTTACATTGTTGCCACCAGACTTCATATTTTATTTATAATTTATTTCAAGCATTTCATTACAGTTAAATTGCCTGACGACATAATCATAGTTAACTCTTTACTTTGTATTTATGGAACCATGGTTATGTCAATAGACAAGTGTCAAGTGTTGAGAAGGGTAATGAGGATACACTTTAGATTAAAGTGGTGAGCAAAAATACTCTCATTCAGCTTTGGCTTTGTCCAATAATTATCCCCAATTTTTTTTTTTTTTTATTGATTTTTTTTTCAACGTTTTTCAATTGTTAAGTATTAAGGCTATTTGTAGTTGATATAACGAATGACAAAAACTGGACACATCCACACCACTCATTTTATTTTATATAGTTATCAGACTATAACATCAATCAATCTTTGCTTTTGTTGAAACATCAATTGTATTTTGGCAAACCGAAGTACTGGAAGTTCCTATCACATTAAATATTTTTAGTTTTTGTCTTTGTGGGTAAATAGTTAATTGAACATTTTCGTCCAAACCTGTTGGGTTTTAACTTGTTATAATTGTTAAGTATTAAGGCTATTTGTAGTTGATATATAACGAATGATGAGCAAAAACTGGACACATCAGCACACCACTCGTTTTATTTTATATATGTGATAACCATAGTTAATACATCACAATATCACATATGACATCCCTTGACACAAATACATAGCAAAACATTTTTTAATTACTTGTAATTAAACAAAGCATGCATTAATTAACACGATAATATAATTCATGAACTTTAACGATGAATTTAATTATGTTACGTCGTGGGTTTTGAGAGCGAGGATGCTTATTGCACTGCCGGCTGGGTTGAGTTGTGTTTGCTTCGGATTAGTTGTCATGAGAGTTTCGTCCATACATTATTAGAGCATTTTTCAGTGTTGCTTATGGAATGGAAGAACGTGAAAACTTTTTTCTTTGTGGAATCTATCCTTCATTCGTCGCATCCAGCAACACTTTCTTTTCTTTATGCCGATTGTTAATATTAAAGTAAACCAGCAATTTCACAGGGAAGAAGGGCAAAGAGATAAAGAAAGAGAGAGAGAGAGACGAAGTGGGAAAAGGAGAGCGCAAATGATGAAGGAAAGAGCTTCCAGCTGCTTCTACTACTTTTTTACCACTTTTAGCTTGTGTCTTTTTCATCTACAAGGCTAAGTGTTCAATGTGAAATTCGAATCCAAGCACGCAACATACTTCAAATTTTTTGATCTTTTAAGACTTCGAATCCAAGCTCGCAACATATACCAGTTGGATATTGTTGATTTTTAAGTCTATTTTGTACTTGATATATGAATGATGAGCAAGAACTGGACATATATATAGAACACCACGCATTTTATTTTATATATGTGATAACCCACATAGCTAATACATCACAATATATCACATATGAAATCCCTTCATGCACTTGCCACAAAGAAAAACTTACATAAAACAAAGCATTACTTATAATATTAACCAGACAAAGCACGCATTAACATACATACATACATATATATATATAGGTGCTTTTGATATTCGATTATGCCTTGGCAAAGTGAGCATCAAGATCCCTGACGAGGGTAACCATGAGACCAACATATCTATCTGGAGCTTCAACATCCGCATTCCGTTTCTCATAGTGAATTGTCAGGTTGGCAACGCTAACATCACCCTTTTGAGCGAACTGAAAGATGCCCTTAATGCTCTTGTAATACTTGAACATTTCTCCGTCCAATCCAATCAGAGTTGCCGCCTTGTTCTCGTCGTCGTACTCGACTTTTTCCTTGAGTGTCCCAACTTCGTCCCCTATCACGTTTATTTCACAACAACAAAATATATATAAGCTCATCTTATGATGTTTTTTTCATACCCATATGATATAGTTAACAACGAAACAGAAAATAATTAAACTTGTCCTAAGTGGGTTCACCATATAGTTACTTAATTACCTAGATGATAATTCCAGATCTTAACAGAGCCGTGCGTTTCCCAATCTCCTTCATGCACCTGAATGCCTTTGATATGGCCAGAAGAAACATTTGGGATGAGGTGGGCTTGACCCTTGAAGACTTTGTAGAACTTATCAGCAGGTGACTTGAGTTCTATTTGAGTCCCAATAAAACCGTGCAGAGCCATGCTTACGCTTATCAGTTTTGAAATTTGATATGTATAAGGCAGAATGTTAAACAACGTATAACTTGGCTTCTCCTTAAATACAAGTTATTACAGTTAAATTGCCTGGTATTTTATATTATAACTTTAAGCTGTACCAGGTGCTTGCTTCACATCATGAATCTCACGAAACACATGAAACACATTTACTAATGATCACAATAGGTGCGGGGAAGACAAGTAAGGTCATCTCCAACCATAATGGGGCTAAATTCAAATTTTCACTCTCTAAAATACAATTATTCATGTATTGTCCGGACTCAAAATGTTTTTTCCTCCAACCATACAGACTCATAATTTGAGTCCTCAGATTTATTAATTTGGTTAAGAATGGTTAACATGGTAGACATATACCTGTACTATCTGTACCTATCAAATTTAAATTTTGGACCCCAAACAAAACCCTACCAAATTTAATTTCTTAATTTAGTTAGAGTATATCAGTGAACTTGATTAATGGAGCTAATCCACTTTAAGAACGTAGAATTTAACATTGTATATATATATATTTTTTGGTCAAAGTTAGGAAGGGGAGGGGCACACGACTACCATGAGGATTTGGATCCATGACCACTTAAGAGCACACCAAAAACCTTAGCCAATCCAACTAACACTGCATATATATCTAACCTTCGTATTTAGACTCCACCAATATTGTACTTGAAGTCACTACTCACAAGATTAGACTAAAGGACACCTGAACCGTCGGCAGCCAGCCACAGTGTATTTTAGGCATTACATGCAAAATGCGATATTTCAACCGAATCTTAGAACTTGTGGAGGCTTGACAGCAGTCACACCATGAAGCAAATAAATAATGCGTTAGATGGAAACTGCAAACTAAAATTGGAAGACTTCTCCGCAATTCATCTTTGGCTTTGTCCAATAATTATCCCCAATTTTTTTTGTCAATGTTTTTCAATTGTTTTGTAGTTGATATAACGACTGGTGAGCAAAAACTGGACACATCACACCACTCATGTTATTTTGTATATGTGATAACCGTAGTATATTTAATGTGATACAATTGGTGAGCAAAAACTGGACACAAAAACTAAAAATATTTAATGTGATACAATTGATGTTTCAACAAAAGAAAAGATTGATTGATGTTATTGTCTGATTTTGTCTTTGTCTTTGTGGGTAAATAGTTAATTGAACATTTTCGTCCAAACCAGTTGGGTTTTAACTTGTTATAATTGTTAAGTATTAAGGCTATTTGTAGTTGATATAACGAATGATGAGCAAAAACTGGACACATCAGCACACCACTCATTTTATTTTATATATGTGATAACCATATAGTTAATACATCACAATATCACATATCACAGCCCTTGACACAAATACATAGCAAAGCATTTTTTAATTACTTGTAATTAAACAAAGCACGCATTAATTAACACGATAATATAATTCATGAACTTTAACGATGCATTTAATTATGTTACGTCGTGGGTTTTGAGAGCGAGGGTGCTTATTGCACTGCCGGCTGGGTTGAGTTGTGTTTGCTTCGGATTAGTTGTCATGAGAGTTTCGTCCGTACATTATTAGGGCATTTTTCAGTGTTGCTTATGGAATGGAAGAACGTGAAAACTTTTTTCCTTGGGGAATCTATCCTGTTGTGAATTAATGACTAACTCACTGCCCTTTTAAGATCTTGTTGTTGATGGACTTTAGACAAAGAACTCAATGATGGATGAGTCTTACACACACA